AAGTAAGACCTACCTATATAAATTGAAATTATAATGTTGTAAGTTTTAACACCCAAAATTTAATACAAAAATTCTATCATAAATTAAACTGAACGTTCCATAAATATTATTTTATTTTATTTTAATTCTACCTAAAGGCAAGTTTACAAGGACAACCACTTGGGGATCATTCTACCATGATTATTTTATTTTATTTTAATTCTTTAACTAGCGTAAATATAATTTTATTTTATTTTATTTTAATAATTTTTTATTTTGTTTTATTTTATTGGTCTTTATAGATTTGCCCTCCTCTTATTGGGATAACAAAGTGTGTTTTGAGGAGAGAGAGACAGAGTGAGTGTGTGTTTCAAAATTTGAAATATGAGAAAATGAGAGAGCGAGAAAGGATAGTGGGTGGGTGGTGTAGAGTTTTAGATTTATTTTTTTATTTTATTTTATGTGTTGGGATCTTAGGCTCATGTGTTTTACTGTCCGTCACCTCACTATAATTATAAAATTCATTTGAATATAATTTGATCTCAATTTTTTTCTTTTTTTTTTCCAACAAATTAGATAAATTATATTTTAATCCATAAGAAGAATAATATTTTTTTATATTTTTTCATTATTTTTATTAAAAAATGTTACAGACTCCATAAATTTGAACATAATACGTATAAATTACAACTGTATTTTGATCTTAACAATATTTACACTGTGCCTTTGGGCACGGGCATACACTAGGGATAGCCTTAATTACAATTATCCACGGGATGAATATTGTTAAGATCCTACCATTACAAATAGATTATCTATTCACATCTATCTATCTAGCTATATATTATACAAACAAAAGCGAGTTTTCGTAAAGAGTTTTGTAAGAACTCCAAATTTTTATAATAAATTTGTGATTTTATCAAATTAAAACATAAATTTAAATAGTGTTGGGATTATAATTATATTCTAATTCTAACATTATTTACACCGTGCCTTTAGGCACGGGTATACACTAGTAATTTTATATTATTTCTAGTAAAGTATGGTAATATTTGTAATATTTGAAATACTTCTCCCGAATCCCCAATCATGAGTCGTTTCAAATAGGGCTGCAAATGAGCCGAACTTTTCATGAACAAGCTCGACTGAGCTTGTTAAGGGCTTGGCTCGGTTCGTCAAGCTCGACTCATTTATTTTTATTTAAACAATATAAATAACATTAAAAAAAATTATCAAGCCGAACCGAGTCAAACTTGAGTTTCATTAATATTAATGAGCTCTCATTATGTGTTCAAAATTAGGTATGCGCCTTTCAGGTCTCAAGTTGAACTCTCATTATGTGTTATCAATTTCTTGAGATCATGTTTATAGGTTTTATTTGAGATTTGTCCGATCTACGTGGAAGGGACGTTTGGTGTGTATTCTAAGATTAGTCGAGAAATATGTAAACTGATTCAGACATCCGACTATCATGAAAATATAAAGCTTAATTGAATAAACATAATCCTGACACATAGGGAATAATTGGATAGTTCAAGTAGGTAAAAATTCTCAAGAATGAGTCATTTTATAAATCAAAAATTTTAATTTTTTCAAACATAATTTTTAAACATAATTTTTTGATTTATATAAAATGTTTTCGCAATAACATTTTTGAGGACGACTTCAAAGGCCTCTTTTGGCAAAGAGGTTAAAAGTCATTTTTTGACTTCTAATTTTTTTTTGGGTCACATTATTTTTCTACTTTTTTTTACAAGTTTTTCCAAAAAAAGATTTCAAAAAAAAAATTTCAAAAAATTAGGTTTTAACATATTTCCTAAAACAACCCAAAAAAATTGTTTGTACTAGCTATAGTGGCCTAATGATGTAGCTTAAGAGATAAGCGAAAGAATAAGAAGATTTAACCATACAGACAGGATTAACAAGCAAAAAATAAAATTTTCAATTCAAAAAATATAGACAAGATTCACAATTCAAAACCCTAATTTTTGAAACCCTAATCCTAATTTCTGATTTCACAATTCAAAACCCTAACCCTAATTTATGATGTCACATTCAATTGAAAACCCTAAAAAATTTTCACAATTCAAAACCACAACATTTTACCAATTCAAAACCGCAATTTCAATTCACAAAACCTATTCTACCCACATTGATATCAATTTCAATTCACAACATTTTCACATTCACAAAACCTATTCTATCAACATTTTCATCAATTCACAACATTTTCACATTCATAAACCCTATTCTACCCACATTATACCCACATTGTACCCACATTCACATTTTCACAAACACAATAAACACATAAAATTCAAATGAGACAAAGAGAGAAAGACGCCATACCAGCGATGGTGAGCAACCCACGGACGGAGAGAGAGCAGAGAGAGTGTGAAAGCAGAGAGAGAGTCTGAGAGCAGAGGGAGTGAGAGCAGAGAGAGAGCGAGAGCAGAGAGTGAGAGAGCCTGAAGTCGAAAAACCTAAGTGTATAAAGCGTGGTTGCAAATGAGGGGGCCGGGGGAGTTTTATATAAGTTTTAAATGCGTGGTTACGAACCACGCTTTTACTTAAAAACGGATTGTGGACAAAAGCTCAACAGTAAAAGCATGGTTTCAAACCACGTTTTCTCAAAAAAAAAATTCGCTTAAAAGCGTGGTTGTGAACCACGTTTTCTGAAGAAAAAAAAAATTTATTTAAAAGCTCAATTAAAGCATGGTTCACAACCACGTTTTCAGTAAAAAAAAAAATTACTTAAAAGCGTGGTTTAAAACCATGTTTTATGATTAACTTAAAAGCGTGGTTTGTAACCACGCTTTTACAATTTCACAAAATTTTCGCGCGACGACTATAAAAACGGTGAAAGCGTGGTTCACAACTAAATTTTAGCCTAGTTTGAAAAATAAGTTGCTAATTTGGGAAAAGCCCCTAAGACATGACTTGAGACAACATTTAAGGACACCACACTAAAAGGTGACGAAGAGTCGAACCTAGGTTGAAAGCATTTTTAGACTGATCCTTTTTGCTGAACACACCCCCAAGACGGCTAGCCTCTTCATTTGTTTGTTAATGTCATTAGTTTTTAATACTACTGTTTTTTTGTAAATTAAAAATAAATAAAAAAAGAAATATGGTTTTTGCAAAAAAATGTGTAAAAAAATTAAATAAAAGACATTAATAGACACTAATTTTCAAAATAATGAAAATAAAAATAAGTAAATATATTCAATGATATGTCAGAATCGTAGCCGAATGGTGGAGGACGCTATGAGCCTAGTTGGAGATAACGGTGAAAATATGGGGGAGGTGCTTGGAGAGTTTGGTATGGATGAGTGAATTCCCCAATTAATTTTGAAAATAAGTGAAAATAAAAAAAAAATCTAAAATTTGAAGATTATTACTATTTTTTGGCATAAAAACAATTTTCAAACATATTTTTTGTTTCTTATTCTCAATTTTTTGTTTTAAAAAAATAGAATATATAAAATAACAATGTTACTGTACAACTATTTTTTTTTAGAGAAAATTACAAATAAATGGAATATAAACACACACAAAAAGTGCAAATCAGTATAATTTTTTTAATTACAATAGGAGTGGAAACTTTAAAAATAATTACTACAATATGGAATCATTATTTTGTTCTCTCTTTCCCATCACGATCCTATAGAAGTTGACGTTGGGTTGGGAAGGTGAATCTTTTTCATATCTCGATAAATAATTTGATAAGTTAATGTTTTTTTTTTCCCTCCATATGATAGAATTCCCCTCTCCACCCCACTACAAAAAACAAAAAACAAACCATTGCAAACAGTGTCAAAGCAGGGGCAATGTTGGTGACATAGAAATCAACCTCTCTCGTGCAATCTGTTATGTTGCGTTTAGTTAGACAATTTGACAAAGGAAAATATAAATAAAATATACCTACATTTCACCTAATTTTACACACTTTTTCCTTTCACTTTTAAATTTCTTTCCAAATTTCTCAACCAAACACAATATTACTCTCTCATTCACAATGAGATTTCGCCATACTATAGAGTGGGGATTTGGGATGTCGTGGTGGTGGCCAAGAAGTATAGTGGTAGTGGGGAAAGGTGGCCGGCATCAACAATAGAGACAATAGAGAGGGATGATAAAATTATTTCAAAACTCAATTTCTCATATTTTTAGAGCAATTATATTTGCCCTCTACTGAAAACCTTAGACCCTCTCTTTTTTGTGTTTTAACCTTTCGCAATATGACAAAGTACAAATAAAATAGAATAGTCATAAAATGAGAAGAAAAAAAATCCAAAGTAAATAAAGTACTAAATTGTAAAACAAATAAAATAATAAATTTAACACAATAGTTCTTCAAGGATTCTTGTTTAGTTCTTTAAAAACTTTTAAGTATAAATTTTCAAGATCTAATTATGTTATGTTATTTAATGATTTAATTATATATTTGAGTGTAGTTCTCACAAATTCTCTCTTCTAATCTTTCCTTTTTCTTTGTGCTTCACTTCTACACTAATTGAAGGAACGATCCCTCAATTTATAAGACAAAATGAAACAGCAAAATTGATATTACAACCATTCAATACTAAGACTTTGTTTGACATATGTTAAAATAACACATTCTATTTTAACACATTATCCTATCTAAGTCACAGTCATCTTATTTGAATCCCATCAACTCTTTACCACATCGCTTCGAATTCAATCCATATTTCACGTTTTTTCGTAAAAAGTCAAAATATACTACCACTTTCCAAACAACCCTTAAGCCTACTAGGGCTATACATCCATAAAGCCTACCACCATAAATTTGATCAACCACTTTTCTCCACATGTTTCATAGCAAGAGTTTATTAGTACATCGATAAGTCGAGATTGCTTTACATTTTTACTAGTTTTTTTCAAGACCTAGTGTTAATTTTTCTAGTCAAAACTTATTTTCTAGTATCTTTTTCAGATCCATTTAAGGATATACCATCTGCAAATTTCCTAGTTTCAAATTGGCACAAAGTCCTTTCAAGTTATGCAACAACAAAAACTTTGATGTAAATGCTCATTTTTTCAAGTTAGCCAACACACTTCAATATTCACAACGCAAAATTACAATTTTTTTTGCTGAAAGAATGGACAATAAGTATACACAACCAAGAATTTCAACACCCAGCAGTTTATCATTCAGTCAACTTGTGCATTTTTATCCCATAAAAGAATTACTGTGAACCTCCCTCACTAAAAAGAATGATTTGCCAGCGCTTCATAAATCCTCACTGTTGTCAGATGCCTGCAAAAATCATCCTTACAGTCCAAATGCAATATCCCGGTTTATGATGGCAATGAAGCAATCTCCTTTGATCAAGCCAATGAACACACTTTATCTGAAGATGACAGTTAGTACCAATGGTTAGTTAACAATGCAAATAGTTCAGTGCACAAATCCACTATAGCATGCAACATCATTTGCTTTGGAGCCTAATCAAACTATTGACATTTTCTTTTCTTTACCATAAACTTGCTAATGAATCCAAAAGGGGAAAAAAAATGGAAAACGAAAGCCAACCAAAATCACATTTGACACTGTTTCCATTGTTCATGATCCTTTTACAAGGACAAAAAAAGGAAATAAAATAGGTCAGAAGGATGGATAGAGTTGCTATTGTTTAGAAGGAAGGAAAAGATAAGGGTGGGAAGCAGCACTGCAAGGAACAAATATGAATTTCACATAATGAGACACATATATGAGAGAAAGGCTGGGTCCCACATCATGACCCACTATTTGTCTCGCATCTATGTTCTATTTATAAAACTCATTTGTGCAGTTAGACTTGTTAAGGTAGGAAGTGAAGAAGGAAGAATTTCCTTTACCTATGTGAGGATAGTGTAAACTACTTAAAATTTCATTAAAGGTAATTGCATAACATAGAAGGAAAGGGATCACTTTCAATTGTAAACAGTTTCCACTGTCATGCTTACCGATAAATTATTCCAATAGGAAAATATAACAAAATAGGCATGCGGAAAAAATTTAATTAGCAAGGCAGGTCAAAAAATTCCAGTCATAGTAACATCACAGAGGCACATTTACCTTGTCTCGAATTACTACAGCAGAGACGGCTGTCATCTGTGTACGTTGCTCGGAGACCCATCATCCATGACCCCACTGATATATCATCATGAGCATACATCTTTAGAGATACACTGCATGGTTAGGAAAATAAGATAAGAAAATAACTAATGCAAAGAACCATAAAATGTATATATAATTCATTAGTCTATTGGTCCAAGGTTTTGTTGGGGCTTAATCACTGTAAAGGTGGAGAAATTCTGTGTAACAGCTTGACATAAAGTATTTTAACCGATGCTCTAACTTCTTTAAGCTTTTTAGACAATTAGTCTAACAAAGTAGAAAGCATCAGAACTTGGTCTTAGGGAGTTCTTATGTCAAGTCTCTTCATGTGTATTTGTTTCCCCATGATGTGTTTTAGTTTCTCCATAAGTATCTGTTCCACTATAACGTTGTTTAACAAAGAATCAAAGCATCAGAACTTAAAATCTTGGTTTCTCTAACACTCGGTTTGGATTGAGTAGGGGGGGATTGAAGGGAAGTGCAAGTTGTGAGCGGAAGACAAGTAGAAGGGTTACATTTCCTTCCGCTTATTTGGTTAAACAATAATTATAAGGGGAATGGAGATGTCAAAGTTAAATAAATAATGTTTCAAAAATAAGGGAATCTTGCAAGAGGGAGGAGGATTTGAGAACTCAATTTACACAGCTTGGTCTATTCCGTAATGTTGTGCTTGATTCACTAGAATAAAATAGAATGGAATGGAATGATCATTCTGTAGCCTCCTTGTGAAATGACTATTCATTTACAATGGTGAATGATGAACTATTTGTAATACATTTTTTAACCTTTTTTAGTGAACCAAACGTGAGAATGAATATTATGATAGACTGATCATTCCATTTCATTCCATTCCAGTGAACCAAACAAAGCATAAGAGGTATTTGGGTAACTGGCAATCTAACAATATGATCATAATTTATAAAATTAACTTATTGTTGATTATGCAAAAATTTGAGATGTCATCAAGATCAAGGGATTATTTTGGGTACAAAGAATAATCCACTATGCCTCAAATACTCTACCAGGTTGGCTTGTTTAAGTTGTAGTTTAGCGAGGGCTTTTTTGCTTTAGCTAGAGTCAAGTGATTGCTTACATTTTCTTGGTTAATAATTTTTCATTTAATTTCATTTTTAAGGTGCACAGACAGTATTATTTTGAGTTCTCATAGACTTAGGTAATCTCCTTAGAACGTGGCCCCTTGTCACCGCTAGTAATCTACTTATGACCTACTTGTCCACTGAGGCCAATAAATGTGATTACATACATGTAAGCTACTTGTCACCAACTCTTATAGTGTTACATGGACTCTTTTATAATTCCAATATATATATGTGTGTGTGTGTGTGTGTCTGTGTCTGTGTCTGTGTGTGTGTGTGAACATGATCTGACAAGGATAAGGATATGCGATATTTATTTGACACCCTGTACTCATATTAAACACTTGGCTCCTCTAATATCAGATGATAGTAAAGAAGAATCTCATGTTGATAGAGAGATAGAATTCCCGTTTGCCACTAGATCCAATTTAAATTCAAGTATTCCCTAAATAATAAAATCTTATATTAGCATATTATATAAAATACAATGTATTCAAATGCGAAGGACTTGTCTCTGTCCCCATATCCAACTTCTAGATACAAATCCTTGTATCCTAAGGTTTGGGGTAAGCGAGCTTGGATGCCCTAGACACACATACATGGGCCACACTCGGCACCCATACCCTGGTCCATGTAGCATGGCCTACTGATATAACTTTCTTCATTCTCGTACTTCATCATGAACTAACCTCTTTCACAAGTATATCTATAGGACTCTGTGTCAAAAGATGTCTAATGGATAAAAAATCTCAGGTAGGTACTTTCTTTAATTCCTCTTTTTTGCCTCCTTCGGGCTAGATTTTGAGCCCCATAACTCACAAAAATTTGAGCTAAAAATCCGACTCTAGAATCTGATTTTGCAAGATCTTGGCCTCGATCTAAGTGTTACTTGGATCCATAGTTGATTGGGGTTGTTGGAATCCCTAGCATCAAGCTAGTTCTTGCATAATTCATAATGGCATGAGCAAAAATGTAATAAAATATGTTAGATGATTTATGGCTTCAGCCTCTTTTTCCTCACATGGACCCCACAGATGAGCTCCACTACCCCAACATAAGAATTATTCTCAAATTAAATATATTTACTGAAGAGAACAAAAGCCAATTCAATCATTGTACCAACTAATCCAATGTACATAGGGCTTATCATAACTTGAAAAGAGTATCAAAACCAAATCCATTTTCCAAAGCATTGATAACTAACCTGTTTATGTTAATATACTGAGCCAAATTTTTTGATAGTATAAAAAGTGCACCAGATGCATGCCGGAAGTACCTGAAACAAAGATTGATGTTTCATACAGTCGAAACTGTAACTGTAATTTCACTTATCAAGAAAAAAGACGGATCTACAGTTACAATTATCAAGAAAAAATGTGGATCCTATATAAAAGACAAATCATTCTGTCCCATTTACTTTATCTCTATCATCATTATATACAACTCCATAATTTACAAATTGTTCACAAGGGTTTACATATCATTTCAAAATTTATTATATACAGATATCTTGTAAACACATTTTTTACTTAAACATGCATGGCTTATCCCTACATCAATTTATCCCATTTTATTATGAGAAAATGCTAATAACAGGCCTTTGGGCTGTCATCAATGTTGGTAAACATGTAAAAAGTGTATTAAAATGTATAAAAATATGTAGACGTGTTGGGATGTGTAAAAGTTGTATTGAGATTCTAACTTTGTTTTCATTTTGTCCTTATTGACAGGCCAATGGGCTGTCATGAGCATGACCCGTTTAATTATTAGAATTCTCACCATATGTTTGCTACCTCCCACTTCCGAAGTATCTCCCCAGTTTTTCTTTTGAGCAATGCTAGGGATACACAAAATTCTACCAAATTTTCTACCGAACACTCACATGGGTCATTTTCTACTGAACACTCACATGACCCATGTGAGTGTTCGGTAAAAAATTTGATAGAACTTTTGGGGTCTCTAGCATTTTCCTTTTCTCTTTTGTAGGATCATTCTAAAAATGTAATTTATTCATGGTTCTGGTTCCCCAAACTATAATTTCATTTCCTTTCCCCAGGTTTCTTGCCTTTCTGGTTCCCCAAACTATAATTTCATTTCCTTTCCCCAGGTTTCTTGCCTATTAAAAGGGGCACAGGAAATATGATGAAACATTGCACTAGAAAATGATAAGGCAATTAATTTCAGAATACCAGCAAGGAATCGGCAACAAGTAGTCAAATACAGATAAGATCCAAAAAATCAAGACAAATATAATGAGTGTATATCCAGCACCATTCTCATCCATCAGCAAGTTACTTACGATTTCTCATCGCCAAATTTCCACCAATCAGGTTCATACCATGGCTTTCCCCTGAAATCAGCAATAAATTTGGATGTTCAAATAGTGAATGCAAAAAGTTTTCAAGCCAATTTAAGTGATAGGTACACAACATAGACATTCATTCCAGAGAAGCAACCACAAAAATACATACAAAGGAAGCGTTATTCATATGCTACAATTTGTACTTAAGATTTAATTCTTTCAAAGACCTTTTTCCAGATTATCTGGAAGTAAAACAAGCAACATGACAGATATGCAATCAATCATTAATGGAATATTAAGTCTACAGAAAAAAGAAACCATATCACTGAAGGAAGCACAAAGTTTTGGAGAACAAATTGGACATTGATGTGGTGACATAGAAGCACACAGGTAACGGATGAAACATCCTTTTGTTCATCATAACATGAAAGGTTGTACAAACTGCTCTTCAGACATTTGGTAAATACTCCTTTCTGTGCATTTTATGACATTCACACAACAAATGATTTGTGAATTATTGGCAAAATTTTTCTTTGTATGCAATTCCTGAGTTTTAGAGAACAAATTTTAACCCTTAAACTGTGACCCTGATGCCAAGCTGCAATTCTGTAGTCATGTTCATCTACAAACAAAGACCAGTTCTCACTTATTTAGATATGTGCATATAAACATAAACAAATATATATATAGATATATATCCTAGGCAATTCTTTATTTCTTTTACAACCATCCACATCAGTTCAACTGGAAGGGTCATATTCAAAGCAGGCGATGGTCAATATGTCATGACTGAAAAGAAAAGCTCATCAAACTCTTTGTACTACAAATGTATGATATTTAGGTAAGCACATGTGCACATGAGAGAGAGAGAGAGAGAGAGAGAGAGAGAACTAATAAAATATACACTAAGCAATCTGATACACACAAAATTGGGCAATCAATTTTGTTTAATATAAATCTAAATTTTCACTAGATAACAAATAGTCAATTTAAAGCCTAAAAGTCCCTTTTCACCATTAAAAGTGCGTTCATCAGTTGGTCATAGAACCTATATGATGTTATACCTCAAATTGAAAGAAATCATTTCAAAAGAGCCAACTTCAGTTCTCTTGGTGCAGATTATTTTTCAGGAAGTATCTATTGTTCTCTTTTTCTTTCCCTTGTGGTCTCAAGATATTATTAGAATTTCAATAGTGTCACAACACATAAAATAATAATAAAATATCATCAAGTACAATTTATGATGCACCGATAAAAAGTACAATTCATGATACTGATGAATAGCCAATATTTTATTACACCGTAGCTTAGTTGCAACAATATTCTACATAAAAGGACACTACCCTAACCCAGAACCATAAATTCATGAAATCAAACCTTGCAAGAGTTAAAGTTCACTTGGGACAGCATCTTAAATCTATCACTAAAAGTCCCCAACTGACTGAAATTAGTATGCAAACCTTGAGTTAACTTATCTAAGCAACTAATAATAATATGGGTCAAAATAAACTATATATGACTTTTATAAGAAATAATAAAGATAAAAAAGGACTAACTAGACAGATATTATTCAGTAATTCTTCTACAGTGTATATAATTCACTCTTAATAACTTTACTGTCTTCAAGTCCCAGTTTGATGATCAATAGTATTTTCCAACCCAAGTCACAAGTAGAAAGGCTACTTTAAAGCCCTAATTGGAGTCAAAAACCGCAGCAGCAACTTTCCATCCCTAGTAGTATCTGTGTTCCCCATACCATTTCAAAGAAAGATTGGGTCCCCAGTACAAAAGGTAATAATAGCCTTTGTCCTCCTTGTGGAGCAATATACATGTATATGTGACCTCCCAGAAACAAGAGTTCCCACGCCCCAGCCCTAATCTTGAGTCTCGACAGAAAACCCACTCCTGGTTTATGCCTCCATGCATCAAAATACCATGTAGTGCAACCAATACGTCCCTGACAAACTACAACAATATAACTATCTAAATATGCACAAGCTATAGATTATCAAGCATGATCCACTTTAGAAGGTACTTAAACAATATTTATTGATACAAAGAAAACGCCACAAGGATGCTCTGACCATGGAAATCACATCACAGCGTGGGTAGCAGACTGAGAAGGCAAAATTTTATGTAATTCAGATCTTATGTCACAATAAACCCTTAAGGCCACTCTGTCCCAAGCTGAGAAAGTCCAATATGAATTGGATTTTTATAGGTATCATATAAGGGTTATACTAAGTGTATATTAACCACATCACTAGAGAAAGTGTCATAAACTGAACTGAACTTGAACATGATAAGAGTATTTACTCTTCAGTTATCACATCTCCAGACTTCATGCATCCAATGTAAGCACTATCTTGACCACGGCGGCTTTCAAGAAGTTCAACTAAACCATCTGCAGACCAGCATGGAGCAAAAACAATACAATTTCACAAGTTCAAACAAATGAATAGAAATTATGCAAGTAGTCATATTCCATACAAGAAAATAAAATGTACAATGTATACCAAGATCAAGGGCAATGTTGTCATCAACTTTTACATAAAAATCTGCATCCCAATTTTGAATTGCTGTACTAAAGAAGAATTTCACTTTCTTGGGTAACTCCTCTTCAGCCTCCTCATGACCTTCCTAATAAATAAAAAGAAAGCTAATAAAATTCTATGCATTGCATATTTGTAAAATCCAAGAACTACAAACAAAAGGGTAATAAACTAACAAAGTTGAAGTTACCTACCCACATCAACACTTTTATTTCTTATACTACTTTATCAACGAATTTTAGATAATATTATAATCCAGGTCTAAAAAACACGTGTGACAAGAAATGTGACACGCCAACCCAACAATTTTCAAAAAATATAGGACAAAACGACACATTGGGGACACGCGCAAAATATACAATTTTATGTATTTATTATATGTCATATATAAAAATATTTCAATTTGAAGATAGTAAAAACATACAACATAATACTAATTTCTAAAGTTTAAAAGGAAGGATTGATAGGTATTTCTTTTACCAATGGGTCCCAAGTTATTTTGCACAAACTTGCAAATTGTAATGTGTTTTGTGTGTGCCTAAGCAATGAATGCGTATGTCACCTTAAGTGTCCAAAGCGTGTCCATGTCTAAAGATTTTTCAAAAATAATTAGGACACAATGGACATATGATGGTGTCCAAAATGCACACGACACCTTCTTAGAAAGTGTTTGTGCTTCTCAAATCCTGGTATATAGATCAAAATAAGAAATAATCATGGGACTATTTTTCAAAGTATCTTCCTACGGATGTCAGGAGTATTGAACAATATATCATTACACTAAATATAATAGTGATATGTTTAGCCCATTTAAGTCGAGGCGAAAGACTGAAGTAGTTTTCTTGTGGAACACTAAACTCAATAACTTACAAGAATCAAGAAATCTTTTGTCAGGCCATTTTCCTTATCAATATTGCGGTCCAAGCTATCACCTCGATTAGCACTGCCAATTTCAAAGTTATCGAGTTATGATAAGGAGTTAGTCTAGCCAGTAGTATAGCTAAAACTAGAGAAGCACGAATATTCTAAAAGGTATCAAACCAAGGAAACTTAGTAGGGTGGTAGTATTCAATTTGCAAAACACAGTTTAAAGTTTGTGGGACAACCTCCGACCAATTACAAAACGTATGACCACTCCCCTTTCTTCAAGCTTTCTCAACGCATCACCTGCAACAGCCATGGGAATTCACATTTAACTTGTAACAGCAAAACATGCACAAAAAGTGAATGCCAAAGCTTCAAAATTTCACTTCTTTTTTTTTTTTGGATAAATAAGCAAATATTATTGAGAAAGCATCAAGATGATGCAACCAATACAAGAAGACCACCCCAGATTGGGAAACCAAAAAAACAAGGACTAACCAATCACCTCATCTAAAAAATCTAAAAACACAAATAAATCTGGCTCTACCCTACCCTCCAACCAACTTCATATTTAGTTATTACAAATAAGAAATGAATTTATTTTTAAAAAAAAAAAATCACAAGTAACACAAAGGATTTTATTTCAATGTATTGTTTCCTTGTAGAAAAACAAAAGAAACAACAATAAACTTCAAAATCCACGAAAAAATAAAATAAAGCCTATTTATATGTATAAAAGCAAATAATTGATTATTTGAATATATTGACAATTACATCTTCCTTCACATAAAGGAACAATATAGAATCACAAAGTAAATGTTGTTTGAATCAAAAGGTCGTTAAGCAATCTCAAATAAATCAATTTTGTAAGTGATTCCTAAAGACGTGTAAGATCTCAACAAGATAAGCTACAGAAATTAACTGAGACAATAATAATAAAAGGTGGTGGTAGTGGTGGTGGTTGTAATAGTACCAATACAGGTCCAACCTAAGAAACACAAGCACGGATACAGACACGGACACAGATGCAGCCACGGGACACGGCAATTTCAAAAAAATAGGGGCACGGACACGGCAGAGATACGGCAATAAAATATGTTTTCATATATTTTATTTGCTATCTCAATTAATATTACATCCACAAACAATCAATATTAACAAAACTAACTCTAATTCTATATTTATTTATTTATTTTAAAAAAAAAAAAACTCTTTCAAATTAACACTTAACAGTTTATATCTTTTTTATAAATGATCTATTAAGTATATAAATCTAAGAAAAAAATAATAAATATTCAACATTAATCAAAAACATTAAATAAAATGGGAGAAAAGACAACTTAACATATCCCTAGTGTGGCCTGGCATGTCCCCTGAAAATAAATTAATTAAATAAGGGGACACGCCATGTGCTATGTCCCATATGTGTCCCCGCCGTGTCCGTGTGTTCGACAAGGATATGGCACTTGTTTTGAAGTGTCAATGCTTCGTAGGGTCCAACAATGGAACAAACGTGAAGGTTTTTTTTTTTTTTTTAATAGGCACAATGCAAAAACAAAAATGGCAAGTATTGTCACATTTAGTAACCAAGCGATGTGGAACTTCACTTCAAACCCTCCCTCACGCCCAACGTGCTCACTAGGCAGCACCTACGGCGTGCAAGCCAGGGTCACGCACCCTACCCATCCCTAGTACTCCAACTCTGATACTATGTTACACGGTCTTGGATAAAACTAAACCCCAAAAGCTAGCTTTTGAGGTTGAGTTCTAAGACCGTGTAACAAGTTTTAGTGGCAAGTAGATGATCATATTATGTCATAAGCAGGGTCAGTTCTAATGGTAAGGCCAGTTTTAGTGGTAAGTAAAAAAGAAAACCACTTTGCTTTTCTGGACCCACCTTGTTTTTTGTATCCAATTTTAATCATCACTAATTAATGGCTGAAATTCTCCATTATCCAAATCTAAGCGTTAGGTTAGTTTAGGTATGGTACCCAAAACAAAATTTTTGTATCATACAAAAGTCCACCAATAATAATTACAATAATATATGAATCTCTTTGCCTTTTTCATTACTAAAAAATTTTAAACAAAAACAACGTTTACCCAAGATTCTAAATTAGTGTTGACACAACTTATTTCAATGCATTTCAGTGTGTTTCTTCTTGAAAACACTATAACTGCATTATTTCACTAATGTTTCATTTTGGTCTCCTTTGAAATGGAAAGGTTTCTGTGGGCACCAGACAAATGTTTCAAGTAAGAAACTAAATTGTGAAATAGATGTGCAATAAGTGCAACAGCATAAGTAAATGGATTAAAGTACATGAATATGAAATAAATAATGTACGGGGAGCAAATATTTCGGCAAGCCCGTATTCCTTTCTTCCAAGTTCCGTCGATATCCGATTACCTGCGCACAAGTATGGGTGAGCTACCCGGCGGTGTGTGGCCGGAAAAACCCTCCGACGATCAAGTTAGCACACACCTTGGGATAGAGAGAGAGAGAGGGAGGAGTGTTTGAATGTAAGAATTTCCTTACAAAGTGTTCGTCTGTCTGCGTATGGGGGGCGCAGACATGCTTATATACCCTCTACGCCCCATATCCACTCCCAGTCATCTCCTGACACGTGGCTCCGCTATCCCATCTGTCAGCATAAACCTTACTGAACACCACCTAACCCAACTGCCAGCCCACTCTACTGGGAGCTCGGCAGCCAGGCTGCAGCTTCTCGGCTGCCAACAGCCATACTGCACTTCAAGACCAAGTGCTTCCAATAACCGAGCTTCATTTCAGCCGTGCTCGACCGCATTCCAGCGACACCGAGCACGGGATTGGTCATTCCGGTCAACCAAAGCCTTCCTGCCGAGCTTTAGGCACGAATCTTCACGCCGAGCTATGGGTGCACGCCTTCCGACCGAGCAACGCACGAACCATGAAGCCCTTCTAGGCCGCGGACGTTTCAGCCGAGCTCTCACTTGACCGGCCTTCATACCAAAGAGCCCAAGTAGCTCGGCTCCGCAGGCCCTTTGCCATTACTGAGCAAAACCACGGCACAATCTTGAAGCCAAATACCTTGGCCCAATCTTGTTTGGCCGAAACTAGATCATAAATCTCCCTCTCAAATAATAATCATGAATATGAAATAAATAATAATCAACTGGAAAAAAAATGAAAACATAGAATTGAAAAAATAAAAATCTAGAAATGAAAGAATGAAAATCTAATTTTTTTTTTTTTCCCCTTCTTTTAATTGCTTGACCAGTGGTAAAAGTTCAGGCTACGTATGAGAATGTGGTTCAAGTTTGAGAGCAATCACTTCGTGCATATAATGCCAAAGGTCACATCTATCCAGCCCACGCCTCCCAAAGCCTTCAATTATTTGGGAACAGTATTTGGGAATGGCCTTTTCTTTTTTTTTTTCAATTGATGATAAAATAGCAAGTTCAGAAGAAAGAACAAGAAGTTTATTAATTGAGAGTGTGAGAAAAGACATGCTGGTTTTTTTTTTTTTTTTCCCACAACAACAAATCATCCTCAAATAAAAGCATCATTGCAATACTGTGATATATCAATTTACGATTTAAACTGACCTTTTGGCATCCAAGACCCTCTAAACCCATTTCGCTTCAACCGGCTCCCAAATCCAGTATAAACTCCAATAACAGCAAGAAGCCGTTTCCCAGAAGAAGAGCCACTTTGCTGCAACTGGGTTTTGAGATAGCCCTGGCTCTTTGCTAAAGTTAATTCCATCTCAGTTTCTACGATCCTCCTCTCCAAATCCCTGAAACATTTCCATCATCAATAGCACATAATCATCTCAGATTGTGAACACTGATATTCTATATAAATAATGTAGAAAGACAAGAGAACAATAGCGAAACATACTTGCATCCTAGGACCATTAGCTTATCTTCAACAGTAAGAACCTTAGGTCTCTACCAACAGAAACACAAAAAACATTAAAAGAAGTTTGTACAAGATTAAAATTCATAAATGAATAGAAATACATGAATTTATATATTTTCAGTAATCCTCAATTGATTTGTTGCCAACAAATGGAAGAAACAATGTATATTAAAAAATATTAAGCCTAAAACTTTCTATTGCTTTTGATTTGTAAAATGACGAATTCACATCAAATAAGCCAAGCAATTGCATTAGACTTACTCAATGAAAGACAGTTTTGACGGTCTTACCTAATGAAAGTGGGAAAACCTCAGGCCTATTTGTTTTCATTCTTGAAGGATAGTTCTTTTACTCTGATTTTTTTTTTTTTCCTTTTTTTTTTTCCTGAACATCAAAAACAAAGAATATCTTTAAATCTATGCTGTTTTGACGTCATTTTCTTATTTGAATGAACCCCTGCACTTTTTTTTTTCTTCTCTTTTTCTCCAATTAGATAGAAGTAAACCCATACTTTTGAAAACAAAGGAGAAATATGGGCCTATGTGATATCATCTTGAAAAGCAGATTTTTTTTCTAGTAGTGGCATCTTGAAATGGGCCATTTCAAGAGTTTCAATAGATATAACTTTCAGAAAACACTCCGTCAAAAGCATTTTTTTAATATCATTTTCCTTTGTCCACCTTGTTTAGCCTGCGATGCATCAAATCCTCTTTGGCCTCCATAGAACAGATACTTCAGAAATATATTCCGCCAAAAAGTTTTAAGAATATTATACCTCAGCCTACTAATAGAATCTCTACTCCTCTTTTGTAAGTAGATCCATCTTGAACCAAGACAAACCCATTGACCGGTCTCCCTTATTTTGAATCACAAGCTTATCCCACTTCACAAAGAGAATTTGCTTTCAATAAGTGGCTACAGACTCGAGGCTCATTATTCCCATTTTTTGGAGTGTGTTTGCACCCATTTTTGTAAAATGCCTGTCGATAGGGTAGAAGCAAGCCAACAAATGACACGTGGCAGCAAGAGAAAAAACTGGTGGCAAGGACACTTGGCCAAAGTGTGGTAAATAGCACCAATATGAGGATACGAAAGGAGATGCTTGTTATGGGCAGTTATGGGGAGCTAAAAAGCAGTGTTATTAAAGGCGCACCTAGGCCCAAGTCACATCCAAGCCCAAGGTTTGCGCCTTGTAGTGTTCCAGGCCAAGCAACTTCGATAAGGCACACGATTGGTCCAAGGCGCAGTAAGGAACAAGTCTTGAGGACATTTTTTATTGTTAATTTAATTGGTTTTGTTGAAATCTGACCATTGATTTAAGATGATGCAACTACAAAAGATCGCCACTCTTATTACACATGCCAATACATTGGGCATTCAACCATAAATCAATGATAGAACAAAAATTAACCCTGATTCCTAGTCTCAGAAGAACACTTTACTATATTGCATGCCTTCATTATCTAGTCCAACAAATTCAAAAATTCTTATTCACGTTGTTGTCTTCTTTTTCTTCTTCTCTTCTTACGTTTCTGTCGCATTCTTTTCTCTTCTCTTCTTCTTATCTATGTTGTTGTCTTCTCTACGTTGCTTATCTTCTTCTTCACATGGCTGTGATGATGTTGCCTTCTTCTTCTTCTATCTTCTTATGCTTATTCTCCGGTCTTCTTTTCTTTCTCATCATTCTTTAAACTGATCTATTTTTCCCCCTCTTCTTATTCTTCTTCTCCCCTCTCATTTTATTCATGTTTCATGTTTCATGTTAAATTTTGAAATTTTATTCATTTGTCTATGTTAAAATAAATGTGTTTGTTGGTATTATATATTCTTAAATGTTTAAGATTTCATTTTACTTATGTTGAACCCTAAATTATTTAGTTATATTAAATTATATATTTTTTTACATACAATGTGCGCCTCACTTCAATGAAGCTTGCACCTCGCCTTGAGCCTAGGCCCCAGAAGACCTTGGCACCTTGGTGCGTTTATCGCCTTAATAAGACTGCTAAAAAGGAAGTGGCATGCAGAATCAGAGGAAAAGGAGGGCATGATCTACAAGAGGCTTGAAAAGTGGGAAGTGGCTATAAAAGGGGGAACAAGAAAGCCAAGGATTTGGAGCATTATAAAAGACAGCCAAAGGCAAGAACAGGGGAGGATTCATCAACTTAGCATAGATTAGTTCAGCTAGGAGTAGTTCATCTTAGGAGTAGTTTCTTTTTAGCCTTGTAATTTCAGTTTGATCCTTGTAAACTTGGGAAATTTTGATAAAATTTTCCTTTGTTTACATTATTTTCTTGTCATTATTCCACAGAAGTCCTTGAATCTTTCAAGGCATTGAACCATTTCCACAATTGCCTAATTTCCTTTGATTGTTTGGTGAAAATTTAGTGTTGTCCTGTCCGTCTATTGGTGCCTAGCAGTGAATTTTACTAACAGAGCATCTTGGGATATGTTGGCTTATATGATTCAGTTTTATGAGAGTTGGGGTATGTCCTCTTATGTGATTCAGTTTTATGAGCATTAGACCAGCATATTTCAATCAAAGCGGCTGCAGAATACTGGAAGGGTGGGGCACAGGATTCTCTATTCCCATTTTCTCTGTTCTCATTTCCCAAACACTTTATCCACCACACAAGCTGCCTAAGAAGTATGGACACGTCTAAGAATTCATGTCAGACGTCACGTCAAAAACCAACACAACATAAACATTCATCGGACACTTCTTAACACTTTTCGGACACACATCCAAACATATCCTACTACTTTTAAAAAAAAAAATCTAGCTTCGGACACATTTTAGACATTTGGGGAACACGTCTATCGTATGTGACAAAAAGAAAGTTTTGGATGAGGGGTAGGAAAAATGGGACCAAGTATCCCACACGAAATGGTGGTGCCTGTGTGTATAAATGTAGTGTGTCTAGAAATGAGGAAAGGTTGAACCTCTCTAAGGATGTAGAGACACAATCCATAATCTTAAAAGTTGTCTTTGCGTCATTTGTCTTCATTCTTTGCTATATGCCAAATTTCGTGATTAATTCATTTCTTTGGTAAATTTAACAAGTGAATTCAGTTTTGACGAGGGTATATAGTTTTGTTTGACTCTACTTCTTGTGTACAAGGATTACACTCTTTTGGGACTTCTGACAAAAAAAAACTTCATTATTTAAAATAAAAATAATAAAAAAAAGATTGTCCGTAAATTCCTGAACAACACCCATTTTCCAGCGAATTTTACCCAAAAATAAATTGCCAACTCATTTTCCTTTGACTAGGACGAGATCAGAATGCAATTTTCAAAAAACAAAAACTAACAAGATCGTCACTATCACAACACATCTAAGATTCCTACATTTTTTGAGCAACCAAACAAGAAATCAAAGACAAACCTGGTCTGCGTTCTTCCTGAGAAGATTAGCAAGTAAAGTTCTGTTTTCTGCATCTTGCCACAATCTAACAATCCATCAACAGAATTTAAAAAATAAGAACAACGAAAAATCATTATAAAAAAACGCAAGAATAAAAGAGAACATCACATTATCAACCGATATACAATGACGATACACACACACATATATATATATAGAAAGAGAAAGAGATTGAGAGAGAGAGGAGGACCGGCCAGCGACGTAGAGCCAGGCGAGAGAAGAGAAGAAGGCCATGACGATGGAGGGTTTGGAAGTTTGGAAAGACCTTGATTTCCAACGCCTCTCTGATTTCGTAGACGAAGACGAAGACGAAGATGTTGTTGGTAAGCCCTCCATGTAAGGAGAGCTATTGTTCATTTTTTTAACACTGAGGAAGAAATTCTGAATCTGAATTGATAGAAACGCAACTCTGTGAGATTTGAATTTTGGAGATTTTGGAGATCGATCGGTGGATTGAGTGAGTGACCTGATCGTGGAGTAAAATTGTCTGAATCTTCGAATTTTGGAGCACAGAGAGAGAGAGAGAGAGAGCGCGGTTACTTCTAAGGTCAGCTGATGAGACCAAGGCCCATTAATAACTGGATTCGGGAAGAGGGCTTGTAGCCCTATTTGGGAGGAAATAACCTAGGCAAAATATTAAGTTGTGGTTTTTTAAAAAAAAAAAAAAAAAAAAATTAGTTGGCTTAGGTCTCGATTGCTAATTTTCAGTTTTAATTTAAAAAAAATTTAAAATATTATAAATTACCACATTATTTATTTTATTTTTTTGTATATCTTTTTATAAAAATTCATAAAGTTATTAAAATAATATGTTCTTAGTTTGAAATTTAAAATTTAGTTTGAGTTGACTTTTTTGAAAAAAAAAAGAACTGATTATGATTTGAATGTAATATTTTATTTTATTACAATGAAATCATTAGTTGGTCTACGTCTCATTTGGTAATTTTTAATTTTAATTAAAAATTTAAAAAAATATTATAAATTGTCACATTATTCATTTTATTCATTTTATTTTTCTGTTCATATTTTCATAAAAATTCAAAAAGTTATTAAAATAGTCTATTCCCAATTTGAAATTTAAATTTTCATTTAGGTTGACTTTTTTGATTTTTGTGAAAAAAAATGAAATGATTATAATTTGAATGTAACATTTTATCTTATTAATTTTTGGGCAAATTACAAAAAAAATTCCAAGGTTTAGCGTGTTTTGCAAATTAAACCCCAGGTCTTTAATTTTGACAATTAAAACGCTGTAATTCATTCCGTGTCACAATGTAAGTCCCTCGTCCATCTCCATTTCATGAAGTAACAGAGAAAGCTATTTTTGGCGCCTAAACCAACCTAAAACAACATTGTTCTTTATTAGACTCATATAAAAGTTCTCAAATCCTTAATTTCACAAATTAGGACTACAATTTGCCCCAATTTCTTTGATTTCGTCGATTTAGGGCAATACGAACGACGAATCCACTGCTAAACGAAGCTCCATTTTCAGCCATTACGAAATATGAGTGAAGGAAACAGCAGGAGTGGAAACAATTGGGGTGAATTGAGTCGTTGCAGTTGTGGAATGAGAGCAAAAATCCAAACTTGATAGACTCATGCTAAACCTGCTAGAAGGTTTCTTGGTTGTCGAAATTATTGAGTAAGTTTCCTAATCCTGTGAATAATATGAAATTTGTGTATATTGTTGTTCCCTAAAACCTAGCTTTGATTGGTATTTTGTAATTTATTTATTGTGGTTTCTTCTATTGGTATGATCCACCCACTTATCCTCGTGATAGACAAGTGTTGCCGAAGTTGGTGGACAAGGTTACAAGCTTAAAGGAAATGGTAACTGAGATTGCAAGATTGAAGAAGGATGTTCAAACGTATCGCCGTAGACAGAAATGGATTGTAGGTAGATTGATTGTTGTAGTGATTATAATTGGAATGTTAACAGTGAGCAGTTACGGAATGTAAGTTAGTTAGGTAGGTAAGTAGTTAGCAATTTTGATTTAGGAAATATAGTGCAACTATAGATTAGGAAATGAAATGTAATGAAACTATGCACTTGTCAATGTGAACTTAATATATAATTTTGAATGAAATGATAAATCGTTGTTTTTTTTTTAACACGTGTTTGGATTGTGGTAATGTTTGTTTGGTTGTATTCATTTTGTAATGAATTTGATGCATTTGCAAAGCCAATGCTCTGAATGTGTTTGACAAAATGTCTAAGTGAAGGAAAAACAGATTACATGCCATTGTTCAACCTGTTTCAAAACAATATACAGCACATGTCCAAGCATGTATAATAACCATTCAATTGATCAACCTATTCCACCTGTTCAACTTGTTCCAAGCATGTCAAAAACAAATTAGTAGCCATTGTTCAACCTGCTCCAAACCAATAGGCAGCACATTCCAAGCATACATAATAACCATCCAAATGGGTACATCACGTGACACCCTAAATATTTAATTAATACCACAACCAATAATAATAATAATAATAATAATAATAATAGTGGGAGTGATAGTAAAATAAAATAATTAATTTTCTATTGGTATGCAATAAAGTGTCATTTAATTAGTTTGTTTTTTTTTATCAAACAAGTGGTACATAATTAGTATAAAGAATTGGGCCAAAATATAATTACCGCAAAAGTTAATATAATAAGATAAAGTATAAATCTAGGAAGATTCTAATCCAAATCTAAGGAAGATTGGCTGTGGACATGTGTTGAGTGATGGCACGATTTACCTCCCTATAAATAGAGAGGAGTTGATCAAGATCAGTGCAAAGAAAAGGAAGGAAAAAAAAAGGGGGCGGAGAAATACGCAAGAGTACTAGAGATAGGAAAAGAGAAGATTTGTGATAGTGAAAAGTAAAGGGTAAGGGTCAATACTAAGGTGAGTTATATTATACCTTGAGTCACCATAATATAATTTATGTATATTTGACTTATCATAATTTATTTTATACAAGTTATGTTTTATAAATTATATTAATATTTCAATTATGTAGATTAATTTCTAAACTCTATTTGTTTAAAATGAAACCCATGGATATGTTTGTTTAAATTTTAGAAAGTATTTGACTATGACCTTATAAGCAATTATGTTTTGTAAGTACTACCACGGGAGTCTCACGCCTTAGGAGACTTAAATAGCCATTGGCCTCTATTTAGCCACTTTGTGGTCCTCTATTTGTCATGAATCTATTGACCTATGTTTTGACTGTCACTCTAGTGACCTTTGTTTTGTTTTGTTCTGTTCTGTACCGTGGTTATGGTTATTTAATTACATAATTTCTGTGTTTCAATTTCTGCTACTTTAAATCATTCGTTTATTCAAATTAAATCTTGTTACTATTTTAACTTAAATAATTATCCATGGTTATTTTATATTCTCTATACTCTTTGCATAATATTTCTCACTCTACTGTGTACTTATAGCTGTTACCCTTTAGGTGGCGAGATGTAAGGAAGGCCCATAACCTCACGTAGTAGAACCCGCACGAGAATTTGATGTTGAACCATTATTTTGTTTTTCTTTTCTTTTCTTTTTTTATTTATTTTATTTTTGCTCCATTTTATTTTACTCGAGGCCGGTCACTAAATAATAAAATAATAAAAGCCCTATAGATGTATTCTCTCTTATTAAAATAGTAAAATGAAGTAAATTTTATGTTTAATTATTTTTATTTCCTTTTGCCTCCGCCTGCGCCGTTTGATTTGCAACAATTGAAATAAATTAGTGAAATCCTAAGCCCTTAGGGTTGGGTCATGACACATTATGTATAATAAGCATGTATAATAACCATCCATATATTGCTCCAAACCAATATACATCTTTCACCATTACAAAAAATAAGCAGTTCACCACAAAAATAAGTAGTTCACCATCCATAATCTGTCTTCAGGTCACATGGCCATTACAAAAAAAAAAACAAATTCATAATTGCAACATTCAGTTCACAATGTCTCTATTAACACTAGCCTGACTTCCTAACACTTGTTCAACTTCATCCCTTCTCATGGTTGCTGCTGGCGTTGATGTCCTCCTTGTTGATGCCCTCTATGGTGGCTGCTGTTGTTGGCCACTAGTTGATGTTTCTCCAGATATTGCATCTGATCTGAATCCCATGAAAGTTTGTCGACTCCTCACCTGTTAACAAAAAATTGTTAAATCACAATTTGAGCATATATGGAGATCAATTACAAGTAGAGCATACCAATACATTACTTACATTCTTTGATGAACTTGTAGCTCCATCATTTTTACCCTTGACAGGCCCCTTGCATGTTCTTTGATTATGACCATGTACACCACACTTGGAGCATTTCAGGCTAGTACACTTCATCTGCAACTTGAATGGGTTCTTGGGCTCATCTGGGTCTCTAATTCTCTGTTTTTAAGGCCTACCAGTTGGCCTCTTCAACTTAGGAGGAAGTAAAGGCTCAGAACTTGTCTTAGGCCACTGATCTTGGCTATTAAGTGGATTTATCAATGCCTCATAAGTTCTCAAGTAGGTTCACATGCACATAATCCTCAACTCTCTCTTTTTGAAAGAAAATAGTAACCACAACATGAGGACAAGGGATTCCAGTTAGATCCCACTTGAAATAAGTGCATGTTCTATTCTCTAAGTTGACAACATAACCACTTATTCCATATCTAACTTCAAATAGTGCACCCCCTGACCAAGTAGGTATCTATACTCTAGATTTTACCTTTGACCTCTTAATCTTAGTTTGTATATTTACACATATTGGCCCTTGGTACTTCAACATTTTGTCCCTATATTCATGTAGCCTCACCATCAAAGCCCTCCTGATCCACTCTAACATAGTGAGGATGGATCTATCTCTAGCTGGTACGACCCAATTGTTAAAAGACTCTGAAATATTGTTCAACAATCTATTACACTTTGTTCTGGGATTGAATGCATGCCTACACCACTAAGCTAGATTAAGTCTCATCATCTAATCATATGCTCTACTGTCTACACTATGCAACTTAGTCATATGCTTCTCTCAATCAACCCTTGTATATGCCTTTGCAGCTTTCCATACACAGCTCTTTAGCTCCTTCCCTCTAAACTCCTTTCTAAAATTTGCATAAAGATGTCTGAAACAAAACCTATAATGGCCTTCAGGGCACAATTCTTCAAGAGTTGGAACTAGTCCCTGCAAAACATAAATGTCAAAACCATGACTAATGAAAAACATTAAGGAACATAACAGACTAATGAAAAAACCATTAAACATACATATATCTTTTGTTGATCAGTGATGAAGATTCATCCATGCTCTGCACTTGTGTCAATACATTCAAACAAATTCTCTACAAACCAAGTCCAACTTTCTTTATTCTCACTCTCAGCCACTGCATAAGCAACTAGATACATCATGTTGTTTCCATTCCATCCCACAGCAGCAAACAATTGTCCTTGACAAGGTCCTTTCAAATGACAAGCATCCAAGCCAATCAATGGCCTCACACTAGCTAAAAACCCTTGCAATTCCATCAAGGCACACAAGCATTCTCTGGAACCTAGGCTAAATTTGAAGTTGAGGCCTCCATACATTGATGTCAACTCTTGAACCTGGATTGGTCCTTATCAACTCAGCAGCATAACCCCAAAGTTTTGTATATTGTTCAGCATTTCTTCCCTCAAGTTGCACCAATGCTTGTTTCCTAGCTCTGTAACATTTCATTTTAGATACTTCTACAAAAAAGTCATATTTCACAGTGTCCTTAAATTCAATTATTTTCCAGGTACGGGTGGTCCTGAATTTGTTCACATAGATGCCAAAAATGCACTAGTTGCTTGTCTGTTCTTGTAACTTATGTTGCAAGTGTGTGTAGGTTTGTATGTCTTATTTTGTAATGTTTTCTCTCTACTCATCTTAGAGGCATAAAGCCTCCACTCACACCCATCACTACAGTTGATTTGAAACTTCCATGTCTCACTTTTTGTGAATTTGACATCATAGCCCCCTTTTACTGTATATTCCCTCACAGCATCTTTAAATTCAATGGCATTATTAAAAAACATTCCAATTTTAAATTCAAACTTAGCCATATCAACCTCAAGCCTAAATTCAGGATACTTTGGCTTCCTATTACCCTCTTCATCAGATCCTTTAGGAGTTAATAATTCCTCCTCAGATGAATCCCCATCATTTACAACACATTCCTCAAATGCATTGTTTCCTTCTCCATTTGGTTCTTTCTCTATATTACCATAAAACATAATATCATCCTCAGTAGGATCATCCTCATCCTCAGTACTAGCTAAGAAATCACTATCTGATAAGTCATCATTTTTCTCATCTTCACTGTTTGCTTCATTTTCATAGTCATGATACTGAGGACGTTGAGCATTTTCATCATCATTTACAGGGACATCAGTAAGGAACAAAACAGGGTGAGGGGTGTCTACATTGTGTGGCACATGATGCTCAACAAATAATTCTAATATGTTTGCAGAACCTAGATATTGAAATATTTCTAAAACATTTTGGTCAGTACCTAATCTTTTTAACCCTCTAACCAGATCTTCTCTGGGAATCCTATAAAAAACTGTATGTAATCACATATCCCCAACTTCTTCACCATATATATCAGCTCAGGCACAAAAATTTTATCAACATTAACAATATCAAACACATGTACTTTACCCCCAAAGTAACTTCTAGGCCCACCATCACTATCTATAAAGTACCCACTATGATGTAAAACTAATTTCATATTTATATCATCTATTGCTGCATTCATAAATAAAACAAATATATCACAAACGAAAAAAAAAATGCATCAAAAATCAATGGATTGAGCAGGTGGCATGGGACCAACAATGGAGATGAAAAATTTGATAAATTAGTGGTCCATCACTCAGTCAATGCAGTGGTCCAACCACTCAGTCTATGCAATGATCCATCAATGGAGATAAAAAATTTCATAAAGCATCTAAAACATTAAAGTAACCAACACACACACATACCCATGCGATAAAATAATATACAAACACAGAGTTTCCATTACTTTATTCACAAAATCAGAAAACGAAAAAACAAAACTTCATATACAAATTACAAGAAGAAAGAAACAAAAGAAATCGTATAAATCATTTACCAACACTCCAAATAACAGTAACCAGCAGTACTTCAAACCTTGGTTCAGATTTTCTTCCAAATAGCAACAACCCCTTTGCCCTAAATCAACGAAATCGAAGAAATTGAGGCAAATCGTAGCCCTAATTGGTGAAATTAAGGATTTGGGGGCTTTTATATGGGTTTAATAAGGAATGATGTCATTTTGGGTTGGTTTAAGCGCCAAAAATGACTTTCTTCGTTACTTGATGAAACGGAGATAGACGGGGACTTACATTGTGACACGGAATGAACTACAGGGTTTTAACTGTCAAAATTAAAAACCTGAGGTTTAATTTGCAGAACACGCTAAATCTTAGAGTTTTTTTTATTTATTTATAATTTGCCCTTAATTTTTTAATATATTTTGTCTTTTAATGACTAATTTAGTCCCACCCTAACTCAACCGACATAGCCAAACGAAGCCTAAAAACCATCACCACCGTTATTACAGTGTATGAAGTTGTATACGAAGCCTAAAAACCATCACCACCGTAACCAACCCTTGTCCCATACTTCAACAAACCATCCCCTTCCTTATTTGCCCACCCCTACTTCAACAAACCATCCCCTCTTTCTCTGTCCAACTCCTAGTTACCCTTCCCTCTACCTCTCCTCTTCCTTGTCCAACTCATTTCCCCCTCTACAACCACAACAAGCACCACCTTTGCAACAGCCAACCCATCCACCGCTAACCCCCTCCACTCATTAAATCTCCACCTTGAATCACCCCCCTCCCACTCCTCTCTTTGCCCCTCATTAAATCTCCACCTTCAATCGCTACCCTCCCACTCCTCTCTTTGCCCCGCCGCTCTGCATGTCTAATATGTTTTAGAGAGAATATGTACTAGAGAGAAACATAAATGTAACAGAGTTGGAATATGATTAAGGGTAAATATATAATATAATTTTATTGTTATATTTTCATAATTCCATGGACTACGAGACTTTCCATCAGTCAACTAGACAGCATTTAGCAATTAATAACTTAAATGAAAAGGAAAAAAAAACACACACACACAAGTTCTGGGCCATAATGATGTAATTATAGTAAGACTAATCAGAATTTCAAGGTCAAAAAATTTAATGATGGATAATATGTTTCACGTCATTTTAGTCCTCTAAAATTTCAATTTATGACTTCGCCTTCAAAATTTTTAATTTAAAGACAAATGTAGAGCTAATGTCTCGTAGTGCACCTGTCACAAAAAATAGAAAGCCCAGCAATACTTGCTTATTGAGAAGAATGACTAGACCATTTTTCTTTCCTTTTCAAATAAACAACACAAAAACAAAATGGTTGATGACAGAACAAACAATACAGGTTCAAGAAACTATTGTAAATGTTAGACCACAAACAGCTGATCTCTAGCTTATAAAAGTAAACAACTTGTGTTATATTCTGGTTCATCCCAGAACCAGTAGCAGTTGTCGCATTAAAAACCAAAATTTCTAACCAAAAAAATGTACTGTTTGGGTCAGAAATTGGATAATCAGGACCCGCTTTTGCTGAGCTCCAGTAGGTCCTTCAACCAGATTTTTCACCAATCTTTTAGCTTTCAAACATCACTAGTTAAGACATTGCATTGTTCCGCAAATCTTATCTCTTAACTCCTCGCAGCTCCTCCAGGTAACAGGCTTGCGAGACCCCCCTGGTTCCTCATCTCTTCTTGTGCTCGCCTCATCTCTTCAGGATCTGCACCGACAAAAAACAGAGATTGATATCAGCAGTAAAACAGAAAAGATCGAACACCACCAACCAAAATTGTGAAAGCAATCAACTTTCATTGAAGAGGATTGGCAATGTGAACAAGAAAAAACAGGTTTCGTATCTGTCTGTGCGCTATACGTACCTAAGTTTTTTTTGTATCTTTTCATATTTTTTTAGAGCACTCTAAAAAGGGTTCATGACTTCATGTAAACAGAAAGTGCCAAAAGGCATTTCTTGCATTGCAGCATTTAAATGAGAAAATGGCTCATTAACAGCAAATCCCAACTACTGATGCTTTGAAAGCAAGAGCCAATTCAGAGAGAATGTAGCCTAGAGTTTTGAGGGTTGCAGAGATAAAGCTCATACTGTCCAACTTACATACCAGTTCTTTCAAATATCTTCTTTCTTCCTTCAAATTTTAATTATCTTCACTTTTTCAAAAAGATTCAATAATATATAAATATATAAAACAGCTATACATAATCTCATTTCTTATCCCACTTTACAAGGCAATGGGATTCAAATTAATAATGCACATGAGAGCCACTCACTTATAGACAGAGGAAGAAATCGCAATAAGAATTGATACTATATATAGCATTTTCCATATATAAGACCAAATAATAACTTGTACTTGTATGTGCAACTTACAAACCAGTTCTTTCAAATATCTTTTCTTTCTTCCTTCAAATTTTAATGATTTTCACTTTTTCAAAAAGATTCAATAACATGTAAATACATAGAGAGAGAGCTATGCTAATACATAGGCCCTGTTTGGTAGGGCTTATTTCCAGTTTATTTCAGCTTTTAGCTTAATTTAAGTTATTTTGATGTGTTTGGTTCAGCTTAATAATACAACTTATAGCTTTTTGTAAGTCAAAAATCAACTTATTCTTTGAGTGGGGGAGGAGAAGCTTAATTTATAAGTCAAAAATCAGCTTATGTTCACAGTTATAAGTTATAAGCTGTTAGGCTTATAAGTTATAATCACTTTTCCACAGCTCTACCAAACGGGCCATCTCATTTCTTATCCCATTTTCTCACTCCAAAACACAAGGCAATGGGATTCACATTAATAAAGCACATGAGAGCCACTCACGTATATCTAGAGGAAGAAACTGCAATAAGAATTGAGATTATATATAGCATTTCCATATATAAGAGCAAATAATAACTTGTACTTATACGTGCAACTTTTTTTTATTCTTCTTAGTTGCTCAGGTCCATGACTTCCACGTAGAAAAAAATGGGTTTGAAACTCAAGATACGGACTAATAGTTAAAATTTTTATTGCTCACTCTTGTCAAGACAACTCCTAAGGATTAGGTCAGTAATTACCCAGTATATGGGAGGCAGAACTTTATGTACCCAAATATTGTGACTTTAAAAAATAATGCTATAATGACCACATTTTTATTCTTCTTCTCTATTTTCCCTTGCATTTTCTAAACTCAACACCCACTACTACCCCTTCCTTAGCCCCCACCCCTTAAACTAGGATATGTATGAATGATGATGGTGGGTTTAAAAGAGAGAGAGAGAGAGAGAGAGTACCATGAAAAAATAGAGAAGAAAATCACATTTTTTCCCTTGACAATGGCTCATGTAAGGGTCACATGACAATTTCCTTTAGGCAATTTAACACCAAACCAATAGAAGGGCCACATTCCAAGTTTGTAACATGACCAAAAATGTATGGGGTTGACTCTTACAATTGAAATGTAAAATGCAACAATGCAAAGTGTAATTCACCCTTATATTTTTATCCATTGTCCTTTCAGACAACCCAATTTGTCACATTTTTTTAGACTTGATTTGTTTAAATCTACAGCAAGGGCGTGCTTCAAATACAAGCAACACCAAAACCAAGTATTAGAGTACATACCCATGTTTTCTACTAGCTTGGGCATTAGGAACACCACAATCACCATGAAACCCATCATCAAACCCATTGGGCTTTTCACAACAGACATTATGGAGAAAGGTTCCCTCATCTGCAACAAAGAAGATAAGGAACAGAAGTTACAGAACCAACCATTGCCCAAAGTCAATGACAACAATAACAACAAAAATTTAAAACACGGCTCATACATCCAAGCCAAAGCTACCTCATAATACTGCTCCTCTTTCAAAGGCTCCAAAACCAACTCATTCAGACTCCTCCTGATCTCTGTGAGTGTTGCCTGAACCTTACCCGGGTTTCTGGCACTAACATCAACACGAACCTGGACATAAAATGAAGAAGAAAGAACAGAATTATGTGAAATCTGGAAAATAATAAATTAGCAATCAAATATTAGAAGAGAATGCAGATAGGAGAAACTCACTGGAGAAAAGAAATAACCAATCGCAGACACTTCAATAAGATGAGTACCTGCTGGGACATTATGGCTTTGACCATAAAGGTTAAGGAACTATAAATTGAGTACCTAACGCTTCAGTAACATCATTTATGAAAATATGATAATATTGTAGTTTCTAGAACCAATTTCTAGAAAAGTACTGCAGTCACAAGGTAAAACACGAAATAGTTTGAATGAAGTAAAAAATAAATAAACAACCGATTATGGTTCAGGTCTATGTTACATGGACTCTTCAAAATAAATCAAATACCCATGTCGGACACCCAACACTCAGACAAGCATGTGGGATATGTGTCCCATACTTTACATTGGACACTTCTCATATATTTGTATTTAACACTATCTTATACGTATCATTTATTGTGTAATTGCTATAAAACACCTTTTTGGCACTGTATGTTACATATAGTACCATTTTATCTCACATAATAGATTAAAAATATAAAAATATAACTTTTTTTTGCTGAGTCCGCGTACTCTTAAATTTGAGATTTGATAAGTTCGACCTCTAGATACGCACCCGCAACCGACACCCGAGTCCATGTGACATAGGTTCAAGTTTAAGACGATAGACATTTTAAATCATTTCCATTACTACATCCAAATGGCCCACTTTCCAAGACATGCTCTCATATTGTATATCTAACAACATGATCAATGTCATCCAAAAGAAATTATTTCACCTCAACTGATCTCATCTTAAATTCCAAAGCGCACGACGAAGATCAAGTGGAAATAGGTGTAATGCTCGAGAAGAGTGATGTTATTTTGAAAGAAAATTCAGAAGATATTGAAGTCCAGGAAGCCCTGATTCAAATGCAAGAAAATCTCACAGGGAAAATGGTTTTACCAAAGGAAGAGCCTCTTGAACATGAAAATGCACTCAAATTATCAAATTCTATTGATAGGTTATAACAGGTTGATTTTCTTGGTGTAGATACTTTCATTTGGATTATGAACCCATATCTATTGGATCTCATCAACAAATTGACGACAAACAGTTTGAACTATAGATGAGCTTCAATTGCAGACAAAAATCAAAGAACCATCATATTCAAAGTATTTAATTTGCTAGTTAAGAAGCATGGACACATACAAGCGACGCGACACGAATACGCTGACAAGTCAATTTTCAAAAAATGTAAGACACGACACGTGGAGAACACACATGAAATATATAATTTATATATTTATTATATATTATATATATGAATATATCATTCAAAGATAATAAAAAAGGCAATATGATACTAATTCTTATAATTTTATATGATTTTTGTTTTACTATTGTATCTTAAGTTGTTTTGTTAAAATTTATAACTAGTTTCACTTGTGTCTAATCGATAGACACGTGTGTTTAAACGATAGACGTCTATGTCCTCCAAGTATCCAAAGAATGTCTGGATCTTTAAAAAAAAAACTTAAAATAAGACACATTTTGAAGAATGCCGAACACGTGTCGTAGAAGTGTCCAAAGAGTGTCGGTGTTTAACACAGACACGACACAGATACGTCACAGATACATCACATTCTTAGAAGTATACGTACTTCTTAGTTTGCTAATATGGAAGAGTTCAATATTTCAGAGGGAACTCGAGGTCAAGTTCTTTTTCTTAGGCCAAGTTTGGCATCTATTAAATAATACAAAAAGTCAAAAAGTCACTATCCTATTTAAGTCACATTATCTTATTTAAATCACATCACCTCTCTAACACATCACATCAAACCCAATCCAAACCCAACCCATATAAGCCAATAAGTCAAAAAGTGTACTTTTTTAGAACATCCCAAACCAACCCTTAGTCAAGGAGAATGATGCGGAATGTGCGTGCTCTGAGTAGGCATACAAATTGAATTTTTTTTACAATTACATATTTTAATATTTGTGATTATTCATCCTTAATTATAGTTTAGTTAGGAGCCTATTTAATAAATAACTTCTTAGTTTACAAGGGATTAAGTTTCCAAATATAGGACTTGGTTTCTAATTTTGATTAGGTTTTTAGCTTTCAATACTAAAGTTAGCTTTGTATTATGCAGTTTTTTATTAACATTATCGAAATTAAGGTTGTGGTCATTTGAGTTTAGGATTGTTGTCCTTGCGTTCCCCTTCTCTCTCTTCTCTTCTCCTCCTACAGTGTTCTACATCAAACAAACAATCCTCAATAATCTAGCCTAATAATGCTTCCATAGCTCGAACTTTGACACACAAAAGAAAAGATTATGAGACCCTAGTCATAGAGCACCAAAAAGCTAAAAATGAAAAAACTAGTTAATATTTAATACCATCAAATTTCATCTGCTAGATTTAGCAATTCAGTGTACATTAGTAGGTTTACTCCTTTGCCAAAATTTTCTTACATAAGTAAGAGAGTTTATGTGTAGCACATCCATCTTTATAATACATTGATTTAAAAAAAAAAGTATGCCCAATTTAGTACCCATTGAATGGGATCTGGGAAGGATAATGGGTACAAAGCTAACTTTTGGCACTATATACACGAAGCGGTTGATGTCAAGTTTGCCCTTCTTTATCAATGCATCGGTGTACAAAATGTACTCAGCCAGCCTTCATATTTTTACCTCAATCTTTTCCAATGCACAATGCCATTTATTTGGAAATTTCTTCAAACTTATTTAGTCTCAATAGCATAGCTCCTCATTGCTTCCCTCTTAGAGACAGAACTGGCAGGCTGCTATATTAAATAATCAATCTCCAAAATAACCATTCTGCTTATGTCTTAAGTTGAAAATTCCTATCTACACCTAAGGCTGCAAACGAGCTGACCCAAGCCAAGCTTTTGAGTGTTCAACTTTGTTTACTAAGAATTAATCGAGCTTGAGCTGAAGTCGAGCTTAAATAATCAAGCTCGAGCTCAGCTCAAGCCAACTCAATTAAATAAACGAGATGAGCTCAAGTTTCAAAAAAATTAATAATCTTAAATTACTTTACTTAGGCCCCGTTTGGGGACTTACCTTTTTAGCCAAAAAGCCAAAAAGTTATCTTTTTAGCCAAAAAGCCAATAACTCATACCAAAAAGTCAAAGATTCTTTTTTCTCTCTACTTTTTGCACATCTTTTCGTAATTAGCCAAAAAGTCATCTCAAACATATAAGTTTTTTTTACCTACTTTTTTAGCCAAATAGCCAAAAAATTACTAAATTAGCCTGTTCCCAAATGAGGCCTTACTAAAGTTAAAAATAGAAAATTATGAGCAAAATGAATAAGAATGCTTATATTAATAATAAATTTCATCAATTAAATATGCAATTTTACATAAACACCAAATACAAATAAAAAAGAGTGCTGTTATTAGCACCCCATCAATTATTTTGGACCCTCCATTTTTTAATTTTTTTTATTACAATAATAACCTCAAATGAAATTACTAAAAAGGACATCAATAATTTTGAAACATCCCATCTCACAATTAAACCCATACACCCACTGCATCATAAATTAGGGTTTATAAGAGCACCCACCTCCATTAGCACCCATCCATCTTCCCCAAATCTTACCTTCAAAACCTACCTATCCTCAAAACCTCGAAAACCCTTTGACAGCAATATTCTGACAGTAACGGTGGCAACCATTTGATTACTTACACTTCTCCAACAACGACAATGAGTGGAAGTTTTTCCAGCAACCACAACTCCATGAGACGAGAGGAATACAACAATAAAAGCTCAGAAGAGGTTCATAGTTTTGATAATGTTTTTAACTTAGAGGAAATTGACTTGTAAGAATAAGTTTCTTAAAAAAAAATGACAAAAATAATAAAAATTATTCATCATTTTTTTTGGACTGAACTCCCAAACATATGACTGAAATTCAGAAATACAGGCCCGAACATTGTTCATTTGTTTGGGAACAAGTAACGAACATTTCTTATTTGTTCGGGAACAAATAACCGAAACTTGTGAAGATCGCAAAACCCACAAACAGGAAAGTTTGAATCAACAACAAAAAACCCTACGTTTATTTTTCCAAGTCATGAACAAGTATGTGGAGATGAAGTAATAATCACTTTCGTGAATTTTGTTAAGGTTTTTGGGAGAGAGGCTTTTTGGGTGTGGGTGTGGGTGTGGGTGTGGGTGTGCGCATTCAATTGAATGGGTTAAATGTTTTTACAATGATAATTTTGATATTATTTAGGGAGAGAAAAGAAATTTTAAGGGTTTTAGAATTTATAAATTGGGATCCAAAGGAATGAGGGTCCAAAATAATTGATGAGATGCTAATAGTAACACTCATAAAAAAATAAAATAAATTAATGAAAATTTATTTGATATATTAAAACTAAATATTAATTTATTTTCCTTATGTTCTCGAGCTTAGCTCGATTAATAAACGAGCTTGATCTGTTCATGAATAACTCGGTTCGTTTGTGTATCTACACCTAGTGAAGCCATTATCTAAAATGTCACTCGATTATCAAAAAGTTTATCTATAAATTGCAATTCACAAATCGAAGCAATAGGATATCAATTTTGACAACTTCAAACTACTATCAATCTCCAAAACGCCAAAAAATGTGTGACCAAGAATTAAAAAAAAAAACAGCACAAAAGAACGACTTGTAAAACAACATAATAAATTTCAAATATAGAAAGAGAAAAGAATGCAGAGTTATACAACATAAGCAAGATAAGTAAAATATATCATGAATGAAATGCCAATGCATAACATGAAGCTGCAAGGATACAATGAAAAATATCCATCAGGCCTGAGGAAAGTGACCCTCTCGCCACCATTGAGGATGACCCGAATATTTGATAGTTTTGCCAAAACACCAAATCCTTTTGCACCAAGACCTACCCAAAAAAATAATAATAATTAATCATCATGAAAGTAAATTATCATAGAAAAAAATTGATAAAAGAGAGCACTTATTTATTTATAAACAAATATACTTTTTAGCTTCATTTTTTTTTTTGTTGGCAAAAAAAAAAAAAAAAAAAAACTACTTTTGGTAAAATGCAGCAATCTTATCAGTTGATAGAAAAGTTTTGCTACATCACACAACTTATCAAGTAAAAAGTAGGCCCTCTAGCATTCTAGAGCTGTTGCTTGGCTAAGAGAGAGGCAAAAGAGCTCAAAGTTGAGCTCAGGGAACACCTCTTTAAAAGATGATGTATGTAAAACTTGTGATATGAGAAAGAATTGTTTTCTATTATAGAAGGTTAGTCATGTGATTACCCAACTATATGGCTACTTAGAGATTCTGTCAAGATATGGCATAACATAATCAAATTGCTAGGAATAGTTTCGATCCTTGAAATTCCATATGGGAGCTCAATAACGCACTCTCAATCAATAAGACTAGCCAATACAGCAGTACCGCAGGTCCGCAGGGCATAGCACCTCCATCTCTAGCATCCAAGCCACAAATCTCCTAGAGTCCTACGGTGTGTGCCAATGACCTCAACGTGCCTAAGCCTTCCTTCTTGGCCTAGGCACCTAAATGGTGCATTCTAAAAAGCACCGACACCTCTAAAAACATGGTGTGTTATTTCTTATAAAAATTTAGACTTGGACATATTTCCATCACACACATAAACACATTACAAGTTTGAACAAAATAACTTGAATCTAATAAAACATATAGATTTATACCTATTAATCCATCATTCTTTGAACAATTAAACTTTAGAAATTCATGTTCCGTTAGATATTTTTATTAACTTTGAACTATTCACACATAAAATACACAACTAAATTTATGTCATGTCACATGTCAATTTCTTTGTCTGTTAAGGGTGTTCAAGAAACCGTCACCCAGCGTAATTGATCAACCTGACTCGAAAAATCATGCAATGGACGACTTCGAGGGAGTAAACGATTGGCTGCAGTTAGGAAGTTCAAGATTTTTTTGTATGTCGATGGAGTCTCGGTTTTCTAAGGCATTTACCGTCAAATCTGAACCGACTGAGTTAATTTTATATTTATATCTTCTCAAAAGTTGATCTGTACACTGTCCAATAAAATTTTTAAAAAGAAGAGAAGTCATCATAATTATATTTTCAAAAAAGTGGGTTGCCAGCCTAGGGCCCATCTCAAACCTAGTGTTTAAGTGTCATAATTACATTATTTTTTATTAAAAAAATTATTCTCAGACTTTCATTCATTCGGCTCATTCATAGCCTTCTCTTCACAATTTGTCTCTATCATTCAACTTCTCTGTCTCTCTCTCTCGGTTTGATCTCTTCTTTACTCTTTCAAACACTCCTATTTGCTAAATTTTTAATCCTCAACACTGCACCCACGAAACCCCTCCTCTCCCCTCACACTCACCCTCTCATACAAACCAAAAAGTTATTGTATGGGTGACTTTGAAAGCAAAGGAGGTTGAAGAAGGCGGCTTTGGTCAAAAATCAATAGTCAATATATGGATATATGCATGTATGGATTAGGGTTTGAAAGAGAAAAGAATAAGGTCTTCCAAATTTGTCCAACTCACTTGCCCAGCTGAAATCCGACCCGCCAAAATCAGTTTCGAAGATGGTGTGGTCGAAAGCGGATGAAGAAATCTCTAGCCTGACAGAGTCAGTTCGGATAGTGGGCCAATGACAAACCTGAACCGACTCAACTCAACCTATGAACGCCCCTACTCTCTGCTTCTTAGGGTACAATATAACATTATCAATTAAAGTAATATGAATACCTAACTCCCAAGAATGCATAGTTTGTAACTATTCATCTCTCAGAGCGAGGTTCTAGCTCAACATCAATGAGACTAACCACAACAGTTCCTATTGTACTATTACAAGCCGTGTAGAATTGCAGCAACACCCACTGTTAAGGCTTCATCAACCATTGCGACTAAGTTCAATTAACACAACATACAACTAAAATAACCAGCCTATATCATATCCAGCTTACACTAAGCATGTGAAAAAATCAATTTCAAATAACCATACGATCAAAATTTGAATCAAATCAGAACCCAACCCAAAAACCAACAAAGCTAGGCAAAAAATAAACTTTTTTGTTTTTAGAGAGAGAACGAGAGAGGGGGAGGAAAAGCAGCTTACCTGGAGTTGGAATCTTCACCCGACCATTAATGGTATAACCATCACCAGTCCTGCCCAAAACGAATCAAATAAATACAATTCTATGACGTCAAAATACAAAGATCCACTTCTCTGCTTTGTTTTTCAATCACATCTTGAGAAAAATATAGTGAAATTATGTGAGTGAACTTCGGTTTTTAGTGAAGAGACCAATAACCCTAAATTACAGCTTCGAAGAACCTAAATTATAGCTATATAACAAACCGCACAACAGTGAATTAGGGTTTATGAAGTGAATATAAAACGAGCGAAAGAGAAAGTACCAGGGCGTGATCGCGAGTGCCGAAGAGAGGATAGAGAGAAAGCAGAGAAGTGAAAATTTGAGAAAGATCGTTTTCGAACTCTTCGTCACTGCCATTGGAAGCGCAGAGAGCGAGAGAGAGAGAGAGCTCGTGACTCTTTGTAAAGCTCGCTTCGTCGAGGTGAGCCGGTTTCGACTATTGAAGGGCTCGTTTGCTAACCGTCTAATTTAGTAATTTTTTAGTTATTTGATTAAAATATGAGTTAAAAAAATTAATAGGTTTATGATGACTTTTTAATCTTTTATAAAAAAATGTGCAAAAAGTAAAGAGAAAATAGAATTTTTAACTTTTTGGTATAGGTTATTGACTTTTTAGCTAATTTAATAACTTTTTGACTAAAATAGAGGATTCCCAAACGAGGCCTAAGTCTTCATTTGGCTTTTTTAACTCGCTTTTTTTATGTGTTTAGACTTTTTTGACTTTGTGTTTTTTAGGGGTTTTGAAAAGGGGGTTAAAAATTGATTTTTTTTTATTTTTGTTTTAGCTTGTTAGTTTTTTTTGTGAGAGAGAAAGTAAGTTAAAAGTTAAGAAGTGTCTTTAATTCATTTCTCAAAATAAGTAATCTATTTGGTTTGGCTTTTTTTACTTTTGTGAGAAAAAAAATGTAATGATTATAGTTTGGATATAACATTTTAGTCCTGTTTGGTAGAGTTGTAGGAAAATAATTATAGATTGTGACTTCACAAAATATAAATTATAGCTTTAAACATAAATGGTTAACCTGTTTGGTGCAGTTGTGAAATTATACCAGCATCGAAACGACCCCCTAAGCCACTGCGATTAACACGAAAGAGAGAGAGAAAAGAGAGATCGCGACGGAGTAGATCACAATCGCGACAGGATAGATCTTGAACGCAACGACGCTAGGGTTTCAGATCGATCGTGAGAGAGAGAGAGAAGAGAGATCGCGGCCAAGTAGATTATGATTGCGGCAGCCCTAGGGTTTTAGATCGACTGCAATGGTTAGATTTTACCTCTCAATTGAGAGAGAGAGAGAGAGAAAGTATAGCGACCCTGGCCTTCTCCCATTTGATTATTGTATCCGGACTTAGGTTCCGTACATTCTGTCATTGTATAACGGTTGTTGTTGTCCGGGGGAGGAAAAGCAGCTTACCTGGAGTTGGAATCTTCACCCGACCATTAATGGTATAACCATCACCAGTCCTGCCCAAAACGAATCAAATAAATACAATTCTATGACGTCAAAATACAAAGATCCACTTCTCTGCTTTGTTTTTCAACCACATCTTGAGAAAAATATAGTGAAATTATGTGAGTGAACTTCGGTTTTTAGTGAAGAGACCAATTACCCTAAATTACAGCTTAGAAGAACCTAAATTGTAGCTATATAACAAACCGAACAACAGTGAATTAGGGTTTATGAAGTGAATATAAAACGAGCGAAAGAGAGAGTACCAGGGCGTGATGGCGAGTGCCGAAGAGAGGATAGAGAGAAAGCAGAGAAGTGAAAATTTGAGAAAGATCGGTTTCGAACTCTTCGTCACTGCCATTGGAAGCGCAGAGAGAGAGAGAGAGAGCTCTGACTCTTTGTAAAGCTCGCTTCGTCGAGGAGAGCCGGTTTCGACTACTTAAGTCTACATTTGGCTTTTTTAGCTTGTTTACATTTTTTTGACTTGGTGTTTTTTAGGGGTTTTGAAAGGGGGGTTAAAAATTTATTTTTTTTATTTTGGTTTTAGGTTGTTGGTTTTTTTTGTGAGAGAGAAAGTTAGTTAAAAGTTAAGAAATGTCTTTTAATTCATTTCTTAAAATAAGTAATCTATTTGGTTTGATTTTTTTTATTTTTGTGAGAAAAAAAGTATAATGATTATAGTTTGGATGTAACATTTTAGTCCCGCTTTGTAGAGTTGTAGGAAAATAATTATAGATTGTGACTTCACAGAATATAAATTATAGCTTCAAACATAAACGGTTAACCTGTTTGGTGCAGTTGTGAAATTATACCAGCATCGGAACGACCCCCTAAGCCACCGCGATTAACAAGAAAGAAAGAGAGAAAAGAGAGATCGCGACGGAGTAGATCGCAATCGCGATAGGATAGATCGTGAACGCAGCGACGCTAGGGTTTCAGATTAATCGTGAGAGAGAGAGAGAGAAGAGAAATCGTGGCCAAGCAGATCACGATTGCGGCAACCCTAGGGTTTTAGATCAATTGCAATGGTTAGATTTTACCTCTCAATTGAGAGAGAGAGATGTTGATGAGCTCCTTGCTATGTTGGGTTATAAGGTGAAGGCGTCAGACATGGATGATGTGCTGTGTTAACCCCTCATCATCACGCTTTCCATCACCGGAAATCGCTTCTCTCCACCGGAAATTACCTCTCTCCTTTTATGAGAGGGAAAAAATGAGTGTGTTTTGTTTATATAGTTGGTACACTTGTAATAACTTGAAAGTGTGAAGGGCATTTAAGTCTTTGATATTCAACTTGCCACTTAAGCTGAAAAAACAATCACCTCCTCCCCCACTCAACCAAAAAGTTCATTTTCCACTTATAAAAAGCTATAACCTACACCTATTAAGCTACACTAAATACTTAGAATCAGTTTAATTTAAACCAAAAGCTAAGTTAAGTTATTTTTAAACTGTGCCAAACAGGCACTTATTAGCTTATGTAGCCAATTTTGTATTTTTGTATTTTTTTTAGCAAAAAATCTAAAACCAAACGAGGCTTAAGTCACCAAACACTTTTTTAGCAAATTGACTATTTTAGTAGGCTAAAATAGTTATGTTTGAAAAGATAGTTACATTTTTTTATAGTTAGATATAATGTTTATGAGTGAAAAACGAAATGATTACGAATTTGATATCATATTTTTTATAAAAAATTGTCAAAACTTAATTGAAACTTTTGTTTGAGTATCTTTGTCCGTTTAATTAAAAAAAATTTTTTCATTTTTTGAATTTTAATTTTAAAAAAAAAAAAAAAAAAAACCCCAAAACCCAAAACCCATCTTGCCAAACACCTTCCCTAAACCAAACTCCACTAGTTTGTTAATAAATATAGAAGCATACATCTCTCAAAGCGTATGTATCATATTATGAGTTGTTTTGAAAAGATGGTTAAAAGTTGATTTTTTAACCTTTTTCACTGTTTTATGTAAGAGGTGATATGATCAAAAATGGGTTAAAAACTGATTTTTAGCTTTTTTATGCATGTTGCCAAAACAACCCATATATTTTTATGATATATATTATATAATTTTCTAATAAATATTATGTAATTTTCTAATACAGTTATTGTGAGACCCCTAACTTTTATAAACCTTATTAGGTCCCTAAATTTTGAGTTATTACAACAAAGCCCTTAATTCGTTGATTATTCACAATTAAATCCTAGAACAGAAAACGCATCACGAACGAACCCATACAAACCCTAATCGACCCTGGAAGCTTAGAAATCATTTCTACTACTCTGATATTAATTATTTAACTCTCAAATTTTAGATTAATCGCTCTAAACCTTAACTTCCGATTTTCACAGTTTTCGTTCGGTTATTTACCTTTAAATTCAAAGCAAGATAATACAAACCGAATTATTTTTCCTAACACTAATTTATTAACTTTACACTTGAAATAAATACTTTAATTGAGCCCAAGCCCTCACATTTTTATTGACCCCAAAAAAGTACCATTATATATTTATATATACACTTGTATCCTAAAATCTTTTTTTAAAAAAATATTTTATTTTACAAATTTCAACAATTGTACACAAAAAAAATATATATATAAAATAAGTCTATCAATTCACCATCACATGGCTAGCCATCACCATTGTAGGTGTAATGAATCTACTATGAGACAATTTTCCATGATTTAAGGAAGAAAAATCTTTGACTTGGTACAAACTTTTATATACATGTCTATAAGCAACTAGGTTGGTTTGATTAGGAGGAAAACCCTAACTAGATCATATTTAGGAACCTAATTAAGACCTTTAATCCTCCACTATTCCGTTGAATTCAAACTAAATCCAAACTATCTAATTCAATTCCAACCAAGGGGCATTTAGGACCTTTTGCACCAAATTTATTATATAAACAACCCCTCCCCTAGCATTTTACATACAAGAACAACACTTATACACACTATATTCAACTGAGAGAGAAGAAAGGAAGGAGGGTGAGCTTGGTAGAAGAGAGGAGAGGAAGAAAAACTTTTCTAGCAATTCCAACAACCCTCAAGGAAGCCACAACACAACTCTCTCTTCCATTTTCCTTTTTCAAATACATCTTATTAGAAGTTTAAAATGGTATTTTCAGATATGTTATAATGGTATTCTTGTGTCAAAAATGAAAGGAGTTGAGCCTTGATTATACCCTTCTTCTATTTCTCTTAATTGGTATAATACTACATTTTTCCTATCAATCTCTCAAAATTTTCAAAGGCACACCTTCACCTTAAATTTATGAGTTTAATACATATTATTTAGCATGTTTTCATCACAATATAAGTGGAAAATTTCCCCTAGCTGACCTCTTTTCTCACCAACTTTCTAATTTCAAGAACTGTGCCAAAAAGAATCTGTTTTACAGCCATCTTGTGAAAATTTTAGAAAAATGTTTAAAAATATTCTGGACTCCATTTTATGTTAAAATCTTTCTTAAGGAGTTATCTTTCAAGGAAAATTGGTTTCATTGAAAACGAGTGAGCGGTTTGTGAGAAAATCTAATTTTCGTAACAGTCGATGAATTTGGACAAAGCTGGAGTATTTCTGAAATAACTACAAATTTGGAAAAGCTATTCCATTTCTGAAAAATGTTCTGAAAACTAGATAAAATTCCCTACGAACCATAGGAAGGCCGGGCTTTGGTAAAATTTGAAATAGTCCTTTTGAGTATAATCTTTAGGTAGTACTGAATCTGAAAATTCTGTTTTCAATAGTGTTTTATGCTCTTGTGTTCATGAATATGGTTATTAATTTATGATCATGTCTCGACATGATATTTCACGTGTCATAGGTTTATGTATTTTATTTTAATCCTTCGATGGTGCTCATACTTATGCAAATCTGGAAATTATATTCATGTGCGAATTTATTCCCTTAACTACTTGGATATGCCTAGAGCTACTTGTGCCTATCTTCATATGTGAATCTCATGTGTTGTAACCTTATTTCCTTCTATTTGTACTATTTAGTTGTTCAAACTTGCGTAATAGATGTTGTTTCAAGAGCATGTCCTAACTCTGACTTAAATTATCTAACTCAAACGGGAAACTTAATGGATGGTAATGGGTTATGAATTTTTGGACAAGATTACTAAGATATTGATTGGTTGACGGGATGCGTTCCCTATTTGGAAGTTAAAATCTTGCGCAAGTGGTTTTTGGAACCCTTGAATGGAGCGGTTGTATTCGGACCCTAGGTATTTGGTGTAAGGAGGGATTTAGGCAAGGCCCATTATTACCGTCTCTTTTGAGGCACTGCGGTTGGCGCTACGCGATATATAACCGTTGGTAGGCATTCGAGGTTAGTTCTGCAACAAAGTAACAAAAGAGGGGACATACCGAATAATCTGCGTCCGATTCTTGTGGCTGGGAGGACGAAGTCTCTTTGGAGGATTTCTAGATTTCTAACATCTAACCTTGTAATCCTTTATTATTGAATGATTATCATGCTTCATTACTTGTGTATTGGATTGGAAAAAATGGATGGGTTGTGTGTGCGTTTACTAGGCATTCAAAGCTCATGGCGTTTCATGCCAGGTATCAAAGAAACGTACGAAGGCAATGAAGAGTCAAAGATATTTGAAGACTTAAGTTTTCCTTAGAGAAAGTTTGGAACCATTTCGCTCATTAGTCTAATTGTGCTTTTATTTATTTTTTTGGATTGTAATAGTAATGAAACTCGTTTTGTAAATTTAAAATTTGAGACGCTGTAATTATTATTTACTTTGTAATCCTATGCCTATCTTTGCATTGCTTATGAGACCTTGAGTCAATGCTTTTTAAGATCTGTCAAAAGGGTGGTGCTGTAGCAACTTGAAAATTTAAGTTGTCCCTTAAATTTTATATTAGTTTTATTTAATTATAAATGAGAAAAACCCCAAATATTTCATTAAATATTTCATAAGAGTAGAATAAAATATTGTATGTTATGGGTGTACGAGATAAAGTGTAATTAAATTAGGGATTATATATTATCGAAGAAAAAAGAAGGTATATAATTAGTTTAAGATTTGGGCCTAAGTATAATTAAACAAACTAAGCTAAACTTATCCAATTGAGGGGATAAGTTTCAAACCTAGAGTATAATGATGCAGTAGAGGGGCTACGCGTGTCACCTAAACCTTGGTGAACAAGCATTAAGCTTAGTATAAAAGGAGGAGGAGCTGTTGTGAATGGAAGGAAGGAAAACAAACGAAGAAAGAGGGAGAAAATACTAGAAGTTAAGAAGGTCTTTGATAGTGGAAAGAAAGAGTGAGGTATTAAAGTTAAGGTGAGTTATATTATACCTTGAATCACAATAATATATTTTACATATATTTTGACTTACCATATTTATTTTATACAAGTTATATTTTATTAGTTATATTAATATAAGTTATGTTTTATAAATATTTCAGTTACGTGGAT